TGTGTTCCAACCATAAACAACAGTCTCAGAGAGAAGAAATTATTTTCTGGAATGATGGAATCTTTCCGATTCTTTGCCAATTGCACATCGAACCCTATTCTCTTCCCACTATTTGTTAAGGATTCGCTCTCGACGTTTGAAAATGAAGATCCGTTCTCTTTGCAGATGATACAAATGTTCTTTGCAATAAAGATACCGTAAAAATTTTTGAATATAAGAGGTTTCAAATTGGATCCGCAACGATAAAGTAAAGAAAGGTAGAACAATGTCAATGAAGTTTTCTACTTCAAATAATCAATTACATACTCAATTAAAAATGTTTTATGTCCAATTTACCAGTGTTAAAGTAACAAACACTTTGGGTCTTTATTCAATCCTCAAATGGAACCTCCCTTTAAATGAAATGAAAAACCTATTGCGTTCATTATACTAGGCGATTACAATTTGTTTCAAACTCAGTCAGCCATTCATCTTGGAAACCTCTCTTTATGAAGCTATGAATTGTACCGTGGCGATGTGTTTTGATTTAAAAATCAGTGGACTTTGTCAAAGGACATACACAAGGGTTGTTACATATTTGCAGCTAATATCGATGACACTCGATACAGTAATCCTGTTCATCAGATGTCAGAATTAACCTCTCTCTTCAAACATTCACATATTCAAATACTTGTAAATTATTGCCTTATGACAATTAAAATTTATAATAAACGAGTTTAAGAGTCTCCCTATTTTTATATAATTAGAGACTCTACCGAGCAAAAAAAGAAAATAATATTAATTTTAACAATTAAATGTATGTAATATTTACTATTTGGACTGTATAATTAATTCAAACCTGTAATAAGTAAAGTAAGTAAAGAACCTGTAACAAGAATTGTACCTCAGCTTCTAGATCAATGACTTCCAACTCGATCACGTTTTTCTTCCAGTTTCTCTGATCCCTTGAGCTGATGCTGTGAAGGGCCATTGTTTTGCTCCTGGACAGAGATGTAACTTCTCTACTTGTGCACGTCTTCTAGTGTTCAGTAATAAATACAGTTATTCAAAATATCGTTCTCCATGTTCTCGCGGCAGAAACAAGATTCCTAAGGACACAATGAGGGATAACAGACCAAAACAATAGCTGATTTGCCTTTGCAAACAGCTTTTATTACACAGAAGCCAAAATTTTCTGATCAATTATTGATCAAAACGCCTATTTACAACTGTATTTAGAATTCAACTTGTGTGCGAGTTGTGAGAGGAATTTAAGAAAGAATTTCATAAAACAGGTACAGAATACACTTGTCATAGTACATTTAACACAGTTATTAAATTTTTTATGTTAATTAAATAAATAACAAACTAAACCTCTAAAAAATAGTATTTTGAAGTTTTCGCACTTTACAGTGAGCTATTGTATACCCTTCACACTTTTGAAGAACTTTGCCTATGGACACAGCTTTTTTTATCAATCAGATATTCTAAAATTGAAAAAATCACAATTAATAAGAACTAAATACGTCAAATTCTTCTTTGAACTATTAAACTGTCTGCAATATTTATAATCTTATTATGGAGCAGCATGATATTTATTTTGAGGTAGTTTAGGTTTAATGAACAGAGTTGCTGAGGCACACTGAATAAGCGCGGATAAAACAAAAAGAAGGGTTACTGATGTTCGTTTCAACCAATTGGGGTCAAGAGAATGCACGACTGGAAAACTGAGGTCAAAAATTGAAGGTGAAGTCATCGAATTATCTTCGTTGTTACATTAGGGTAACTGTCAATTTTATTTTTACAGATGATTATGTCTGGTTACAAATTTATCCATAAAGGACTATTCTACAAATTTTTCCATCCCTGGTTAGCAACAGGTTACTCACTTCAACAGGTTAGTATACAAAAAATTAGATATTAACATGATGCAGGTAAATACAAAGAAACATTTCAGTATAAAAAAGTGTAAAGATTCGTAGATGACACAAGCAAAAAACTTCGACATGATTCTATTAGTGTATAAATTGTTCACAAAAATTCAAAAGTATAGTATAGATTTAGATGAACTGTATTTATGAAAAAGGATCATTTAGTATGAGTGTCCAACTTTTGAATATCATGTGATAACTGTTTTTACATCCGCTATCCCACACAAACATAATTTCTATCTTTTATGCAGATAGTTGTGAAGGGAAAATATAGACAAGCATAAACATAACCGCTTACGTAGGAAAAGGAGTCACTGCAGAATTGAATAGATGTGATGTGATGAGTAAACCGATGCCATACGTAGACAGTTATGGTAAGGGCTCTTTGTCTAAGAAAGAAGGTGCTAATATTAAAAGCACCAGTTGTTTTCATCCAAAGAGATACAAAAACGCATCTCATGCGTCTTAGGTTGACCACGCCTCGTCTACAGGATTTTTGCCTCCCAACATCACCACAAAAATATTCCGCTTCCTGGAGAACAATGAGAATGCGCTTCCTGGAGGACCATTCGCAGCGGAGGAGATAATTCTGCAGGATAGGCGGGCCACCATCGATGACATTGCAACGGAATTACTGGTCGTTCATGGCTCTGCGCAGCATATTGTCCATGATGGGTTGCGATATCGGAAAGTGGCCGCAAGATGGGTCGTTCGGCGGCTGACAACCGAAATGAAGAGGCGAGCCGAAAGCAGGGGAACTACATTGCAAAATAGTGTACTTGTTCCAATTCTCTAATACAGAAGCTGTAAAAAATCCTATTTTCGTTTGATTCACCGTCATATACTTTCCAATATATTACAATCATTTTCATTAAGTTTGTGTTAAAATATTTTTAGCTTTTAAGATGGGGGCAGGACTGGCGGGAAAGACAGTTTCGAAACAGCGGTTACGCATGGCGGTGGTTTCGCATTTTTTGAAACAACCGATATGCATTGCGATTTGTAAAACAATCAATAAGGTTTCATCAAGGTTGTCATAGTGAGAACCTTGCAAGGTAACAGTTACTCTTGACCTGAACAATGATAGAGGAAAACACTACGCAGGGTCGTGAAGATCGATAGAGGAAAACACTACGTTGAAGATCTATTGAATAATTTCCAGTGTTGAATTCCAGTACTTTGAAAGCACTGAGAAGAATGGTTGACTACATAGTCAATACAAAGATTTTGGTGGGTATTAACATTATTGTTTTTAATTACTGTAGTATTCATGGGGTATTCGCTTGTGGACTTAGTCCTGGTTGGGATTGATTATGATTTGGAGTATTTTAATATTCTTTGCTGGTTTCTTTACGACATCTCTGCGTGTTTAGTTATCTGTAAAATGTACATGCGACCCCGCATTGGTTTAATAAGTTCTGAATTGACGATTGGACAGAAGAGAATGTTTGTGTTGAGGTAACTGATAGGAAAGTAGTCACGCGAAGGATGTACTCAAATCAAGTATTTATATAGGTTTTAAATGCTACCTATACACACAATGTACAATGCCTGTTTAAATTATATTATACAGCTTCTATAAACTTCTTAATAGGTCTAGTTATAACTAATTCACTATTTTTCTACTTTAGACACTGCTCCTCAGTACATTTTCATCAATACAGTAGGTCTATTTGTGATTAATTGACTATTTTTCTACTTCAGACTCACTGTTCATCCGCATATTTTTACCTATACACTTTAATGCAACAGTCATCAGTCTAACGGCGTTGAATCCACAATCATCCCTAGTTTGTGGTTGAAATCGTCTTTTATTTGCTTGCGCCGTTAGAGGTCATTGTGTGAGTTCCACACGCGATTGTCGGCAGGTGTCTATCATCTTACACATTCGTTTGGTTTTACTCCACTAGAACGACTTTTTTGATCCGATTTACTGTCGTCAAAAATACACACATGTGTATTTATGAGACGGGTGGGAGTAAAGTACAATAAGCTCACTTTTCTTGAATTTCAGAAACTATACAACTCAACATTTTACTATAGTATAAATGTATATATCATTGAATGATGAATTGAAGTACCAATAAAGCGAGGATATGTACTTCTGAAAATTAGAAATACTTGCCCCCGAGTAATAGAAAACCTATTTGTGTGGCGTCATAACAGTCGCCTTGTACAAACGTGACAAAATATTAGCCACGTGCATTTCATGCTCATGGACAGCGCTGGCGGGAAAAGACGCCTGGCTGAACAATGGCAAACCTAGTTAGCGGAAGGGAAGGGGTGCCGTGTCGTGGGTGGCCACTTGTGAACCCCGTAGATAACTTGGGACAAACATGTGAACCCCATAGACAGGCTGGCTGTGGAAACCGCGTCGGCGGAAACAGCGAGATGACGCAGTTTCGTCAGCCGGTGGTGGTGACCAGTTCCAATCTAGTAACGGGTCATTATTGTTTATTGTAATTATTGTACATAGTATTCAGGTGTTGGAGCATAATTCAAATAAATACACAATAAATTAAAAACCGTTCACGTCTGAGATTTATTGCCCCGGAAAAAAAAGCCACACTTGCACCTAAAAGTGAACTACAGGAGTAATTTTTGAGTACTGTAACAAACGGCAACCCTCATTACCCAAAGCCACGGTTGGAGAGCAACTGGGGTGGTAAGTCACTGACGTGAGACCAGTTCTATCTGATTATCAACGAACCTTTAGTGATTTATCTTTTCTACCGTAGAAATTCACGAAATCACGGAGAACTGTGGATGCAAGACCATGAGTACAGCTCACGTAAGTTATCTGCGCCATCGCAATTTGGAGTGCGTAAATATCTCCTACGAAATATACATCTTCGTGAGAATAAAATAACTCAATTTTTTTCTGATCACCACAAGCATTTTAGGAAGTACAAATACATTTAATAAAGGTGTCCCCAATCAGGTAAAACGTAATAGCTGTGATTAAATATACAATGCCTATATAAACAGGAACTGCATAATCGCACTGCATAACCCGCAATCTAATATATCCTGAAATCGGCATATTGCTTAATCTGCTCACCGATATTTCTTTCGCCGCCTACTTTAGGAGTCAAGTGGCGCTCCCGTCGGAAGGCGCTGACGCCCGCCTTCCACTTCAAGATCATCGACCAGTTCGTGCCGGTCTTCAACAGCTGCAGCGACGTCTTCGTGCAGCAGATGCGCGCGCGCGTCGGGGCCAAGGGCTTCGACGTCTTTGAGGATGTCAAGCTGCTCACGCTCGACGTCATCTGCGGTAGGCACGACCCACTAACACTGCTTCACCCGACGATTTTTATATTAGCAATCGGCTCAGGGTATTAACTGATCACACTGCAGTGCCTCTGGCCGGGAGATCCTAGAGTCGGGTCCAAGGGCTTCGACGTCTGGGAGAACGTGAAGCTGCTCATGCTGAACGCCATCTGCAGTATGCACGTGCCCACTAACACTTCTTCACCACACAATTTTAACAAACCTTAAGTTTACCGATGCAGGGAACATTTAAATCACACAACAAATACGTTAGGCTATGTTTCTTTTAGATATCCTTGCTGAAAATAAACGCTGGGACTCTTTATAGACACCTGTATAGACCCTGTATAGACCCTTTATAGACCCGATCCTAAGTAGTAAAAAAACAAATAGCTCAATCTGTGATTACCTTGAGTCCTGATCATTCAATTTACAAGTCTTGAATTCTTTGACGTTTAAATTCTATCAATTGAAGAAGAAACATCGGAGCGCGACACTTTTTCATTCACTGTTTAACATTTTTAGAACATTAAAACCAGTGTGTTCACACTGATTTTACACTTCAGAACTTCTACATCCATCACTGTTACACTTCACAACTTTTCCATGCATCACACTTACAAACCACTACCAGACTAGGAACACGCGACCTTCAAGTAACACTCAGCTGTGACTGAGTGAGACATGTGCGATGCTACAAAGAATTCATTCTTTGGAAATAAAATAACCAACAGCTCATCCTACTTCAAATACTTCCCTGACCATGTAGGATCCTTTATAAAACTCAGCGAATGGAGCCCGGCCAGAAATACGACCCTTTCACAGTGGGTCGAAAGCTCTCGAGAATATAAACATTATTTTCATCGCAACCTACAGTCTCTCCGTCGTAAGTTATTTTTATACGTGTGCAGCATTCAAAATATATCGTCGAAAAAATTGAAAGCGAAAAATCGTGTGGTCTACTATATAAAAAATCAAATTTAGTGTTTTTCGTATTTAGGACTTTATATCGTGTATACATTCTTCAAGAACATTTTTATATTCAATAAACAGAGTTTTATTATATCTTCAGTAAAATGATGCTCTAATATTCTAAAGTGTGTTTTTTTTTATTTGAAGAAAACAGGAAGCATGTCCAAATGACGTTTTCCCAGCCATTTTTTTAAAAAAATTCGCAGAGAATGTCATTTGAGGATTTAAAAAAAATACGGATCTCTTCATTTTGTCTGAGGGATATGTAAAATAATACTAAAAATAGTGAGCTTAAATTTTGATCAAAAGTGTTCGATTTGGCATGAAATGCCCCTATTTGAAATAAGTTTTTTTCGAATTCATAGTGTAGTTAGAATCCGTATTTGATAGAAATCCTTGGTAATGTAAATGTGGTTTTTCCCCAGACGTCTGGCCATGCGTTCGTACGTCGCTCTACGAACAACACTAGCGCCGCTAGAAAGTAGGCAGGAGTTTCAACAACTTCAATATTCGCCTTCTGACGCCGCGGGTCTTCCAATTTTAATCGCATATTTCAATTTTTTGAAGACCTTTACATGAAGCCCCAATTTTGTTTCCGAAAATTCATCGCCACAAGTAGGGAATAACAATTTTGCTGAAAATCCTGCTTAGCGTCGTTCACAATTAGAGAAACAGTTATACCGTCAATCGATTTATCGACATGAAGAACCCACAAGACATAGGTTCTTACTATACAATTCTTACAGTAATTTACTCCGTATAAGGCATGAATTATCTTGTTTTTTCGTTGCTAGGGTTCCACAATATTTTTTGTGTCGGAAATTTGCGAATTTTTTGGCAGCATTTCAATACTTTTTCTATACTGCCCTTGTAGTAGTGAGGAAGTAAGAATATTTTCTCTATACTGCGTCAGCGGTAGTAAAAAAGTAAAAAAGTTAGAAGGTGTGTACCAACTTTTGACGAAGGCTCTCTAAGTCACTTTGAGGCAAAGTGGGTCACGTCTCATTATTGACAATGTTTATACCAAAACAAAACATTGTTTTACATATTCATGTTGAGCAAAATTAACAAAAAACTTACACTAATGTTTTCTTGCGGATTTCAGAGACTGCCATGGGCTACAAAATTAATGCACAGAGAGATAGTAATTCTGAGTATGTGAACGCATTGAACGAGTGAGTATTAACAAACTGTAGATACTACACTGATGCTTGGTTTATTGGAAGTAATGCAATATATTGCAAAAATTACTTATATTAATTTTAATTTTAATTCGAGCCGTTTTTGTTCGTTCTGACTCTCAGATAGATTTGTAAAGGTCGCTGAACCATCGAAAGATGCTCACCACTCAAAAGAAAAAACATGTTTCAATAATGAAAATAATTATTATTATTATTATCATTAAGATGGAGAAGAATACTCCAACACAGAATAACCACTGCCATATTACAAGAAAAAAGTGAAAATTGTATTTTTTTTTAGATTGCTGAGTCTCACAGTTGTAAGGATGTTGAAACCATGGCTTTTCTTTGACTGCATCTATTGGCTCACACCTTCCGGGAGAAGGTACAAGAAATGTCTGTCCGTTCTGCACGGTACAACCGACCGGGTGAGCATTTCTGTAGATTTAAAAGAAATCAAATTCCTATTTTCAGAATTATGACTCTGTTTAATAGAACACATTCGTCTCACTTTATTGGTTCATTTACATCATATTAATATATAACATTACTATGCTTTTTATCCTACTATGTCTTCAGTCGTTATTAAAAAAAACTCAAACGATATTACTCAACAATACACCTGAAGTACTAATATTTAGAAAAAAAATGCAAATAAATTTATTTTAAAATCTAATATAGAGGAATAGAGTGAATTAAGAAAGAAATTTCCAATTTTAATAAAACGCTTTAATATCTTCAATTAAAAGGTTGGGATAAGTTGGAAAAAAGTGAGCAGTTTTCAAACAATCAGATGATTACATTAAAATGAAATCAGACCTCCACTATTTTTATAAAATAATTTTACTCTAATCCGAAAAAAATAGAGAACAATGTGGAACAATTTCGAGAAAATTTTGAAAACGTCATAGATCTGGAAAACAATTCAAGTCGTAGGGTCACGAACCGTGCAAGTTATATCAGGGATATTCATTTCAGACAATTAACTGCGGCATAGCAGACACTGATTTCTCACTTCAACATATTTCATTAAACCGCAAATTATGTGCAGAGGCGGTAGCAATATATTAGATAAATTCTGGCAACGGTGATTTTTTCCCTTGCTATATTATAGTACAGAAATGAAAAGTATTGAAATCAACTCAACAAAGTGATTTTGAATATCAGTAGTAAAATCCATGACCAATTTATTTTTACCACTGTCCTTTTTTTGGCACTTTACACTTTAAATTTAGATTTATTTAGTCAAAAAAACAGTAAAAACTGTATGTGACGTATGGAGGAGAAGATTATTTGCGCACGTTTTTCTGAGTTCCATAATCCCTTCCTGACATTTTAACTACACATAGTTAAAAGATAAGTAAAAATAAATAAGTATTAAAAGAAGAGTTCAAAACAAATAAAAATATTTCTTTAAAAGACCGAGATTAGCCATTTTTAATAAAAAGACATTTTCGTTTTCGAGTTATAGAAAACGTATTTGCATTGGATTAGGGATTTAGAAACTGGAAAAAAAACTCATCGAGAGGGGGATCATTGACCCGGAATCTGAAGTACACTCTCTGTTACAACAATTAAGTCTTCTTCAAAAATGTATACAATACAAATGTTAACTAATTTAATATACCAGTTTTATTAAAATAAACATTATTTTTCTTTTTGATAATCAGAATATTATCTAATTGTATAGAAATAGTAATACAGCAGAAAATATTTTAAACTTAAATTTGTGTACTGACTAAAAATGGTTTAATGTCACCTGGCAATGTGTTGAAAAGTAACGTACCTGTATGTGAATTTCTGATAGTGAGCAGTTGATACTAACACTTGATAAACATGATTTTTACAACGTGCGTTGTAATTATAAATATCAGTATTACATGTAAATATGGTTCCACCGTTAAGTAAGTCACTTTTGAGAAATATTACAGATTCCTAAATATATAGACAAGGCAGTGGTAATATACCAAGCTCAATAAAGTGAGGCTTGCAGGGATCACGCGGATAGCATTTGTTCATTATTCGAATACTTTTCTTTTGCAATCTGCAAAAGTTGAGTTTCCCCAAAATGTTATGGCATATCTCACGGAATGAACATTTTCAAGATACACGCAACGAGCTGCTTGAAGGCTGACATAATTTGAAAGAATTCTAAATGTTATATGTTCGTTATATGTACGTTCCATTTAAGTTTTGACTGCATTGAGAAACCTACAAATTTTGTTACCTGAACATTAGCTAATTATACATATTGTTCATTGTTAATGAAGTATGTGATTGCTGCTTTGAAATGCAAAAATGCATTGAAGCTGCTTTTCCGTCGTTTATTATTGTTTTTTTTTACATAACCAATTTGAAACTTCTAAAATCGTAAAATTTATTGTTTCTCTTTTGCAAAAAACATTCGTGTCATCGGCAAACAGAACCGTTTTTCCGTTTTTAATAGACGACGGCATATCGTTTACGTATAACAGAAAGAGCATAGGGCCTAAGATCGAGCTTAGAACTGCTTTCATTTTTTGATTCTAATTTTGTTCCTTTCAATTTTTTCAAAGTCTTTGTTTTGTTCATTTGTCAATATGTACTGTTTTTTCAGCATTTGTATCGACTGACTGAATAATGGATTGAATATTTTAGCATACTTAATAAATACATATTTCTGAATATTCTTTTTTTTTTCTTACCCAAATGTACGTTTTCTTATATCACAAAAAATGGAAACTGAAGCATTATATCATTCAAATGATGAATCAAGTATCAATGACTATAAATTTTCGAAAATATTCCTACATTTATTTTCCTAATTTTTAATTCTAAAGACATTCGCCAGAAAAAGTAGGTGTACTGATAAAAACAAGTATCAATAGCGACGAAACACTCGAAAACATTTCTAACAAATTTCTTGCCCGTTATTTCTAAGGGCAAATACAAACCCGAATTACTATTGTCTCCGTGAGAATTTCTGTGACCAGAGATAGGTCTCTTTTCCAATAAGCAAGTTTTGAGTTAATTAACAGAAACCCAGAGCAATGAACATTTGATGTAGGAGGCACTACAACCACAGTGAAAACCACTAAAATCATTACTATTCGTTTGCACCCATTTGCTCTACAATAACATTTGTTTGTACAAAAACCCCTTACAACTTTTCACTTTCAATTATGGTGGTGCCAATCCCACACTGTCACTGCCAACATTGTAAGAAAATTTGGAACAATTCTAAATCATTTGTATGGAACTGTTGCACCACAATTTTTGTTTGTATCAGAGAATTTAATTAAATACAATAATGTGGCGGTGCCAATTAAGCTATTATAATGTAGCGGTGACAACTTTACGCTGGCACCGCCACTACGGTAAGACCATTGGAACCATCCTAAATACCAGATTGTTCCACCAGAGTTTTCGTTTTTACCAAACAATAAATAAGATATATCATTTAAAAGTGGGGATATGAGCCTCACGATAACCCTAACACTTGCTTCGTCACCACTCCCACCAAAAACAAGAAAACTTTCTAAATCACATGTGCCACGTTTGTATGGGAATGTTTTTCATCCATCAGAATTTAGTAGTACCACAAAAATTATTATCGAACACCATTTCAAGAAAATGAATAAATGAACATTTGAAAATATTTTTTTGTAAAAACTAATTTTTAAGATGTGAAAACATGACAAGTCTAGTAATATCCTTTTCCCCCACTTTTTTCCAATTTTTAGAACAGCAAAAATGTATAATTTGTTACAGTAAATATGTTCAAAAGTTCCTGAATTTATCAAAAGAGCCTATTTTTATGGAATTGCAATGAAAAATAAACATTTTAACATAATAGAAAAAATTCGTTAAAAAGTGGTTAATTGTCTTTTTCAACACGAGTAATTTTATGTTCGAAAAGTATTTTGAAATACACGATTATTATTATAGTAGTTGTTGTGGTGTATGATAGCACAATGTTCGGCAATCGACTGACACATGAGTCCTTGGGTCAACAGTGTTTATAGCTACAGGATACGTTACGTTTTTTAAGAAATGTCAACGCAGAATTTGTTTGTATATTTCCCTACAACACACTTGGTGAACTCTCCCAAAGAAAAAAACAATCGTATGAAATCATATTTTAGCAACGTGCAGACAAAGTTTGACCCGCGTCTCTGAGGCGGGGCGCGTTGAACAATCCCCAGCACTTGTAACCTTGGTGTCTACGCGATGGGTGCAAAATCCCAAGGAGCGGG